TTCTTAGCTGAGATATGATCTTCATGGTAGAAGTTAATTTGTAGAAGCTTCATTCTTAAACAATGATTCGTCAGTTGTATGAATGAAAAATTGTCACAATTCATTTACGACTCAGTATTTTTCATTTCTGTATGGGCTCTAATAAGGTGGCTACATATTCCTTTACTATACCGCTCTGCAAACATAACTAGTTTACACTTTAAATGAGTTTAATGTTACTACTGTTTTTAAGGTTCCATATAGAACAAAAAAAAGGGTTTTCCAAACAAGGTACATTTGTACATTATAGTGATTATGTTGCAGGGGCGGTATGATATGTGCTGTCCTATGATGTCTGCTTGGGATCTTCATAAAGCTTGGCCTGAAGCTGAGTTTAAGGTAAACATCATCAATCATTTCCGTATTTTTCAAAATCTTCTCCGCCAAAAACTACATGCTTTTCCTGTTCCATTGCCATCATTTCCTGCTTACTTTGTTCTGAAGCATTAAGCAACTGTCATATTTGGTAGTTCAGGCCATCTTGTTTGACTTTCAGACTGGCATTATTTGACTCATGCTTCTGATAAGTTTTCTAAGAGAAAGCAATCAGGCTCACGTGTTTCGACAACTTTGCTTCTGATAAGTTTGCTAAGTTTCACACATTCCAGTGTTTCGACAACTTTGCTTCTGATAAGTTTGCTAAGTTTCACGCATTCCAAACATCGTTGCCATGCATACCGGTCAATCAGGCATCACTTTCTGGGTATCTTGCTATCTCTGAACTGCTCGATATAAAATATTGACCTAGGACATATAACTGCAGGTGGTTCCAGATGCAGGACACTCGGCCAATGAAGTTGGTGTTGCAGCTGAACTGGTATCAGCTAACGAAAAGCTTAAAAGCATGTTGAAAAAATGAGCAGCCTGACTCCATAGCGGCACACAGCCTCTGGCAAAGAATTTCAGCTGAATTTTATTGGGGTTACATTGCAAAATAAGAACTGGTATTACCACTTTAGCATTTAGCACAGCCTGATTGTACGTGTCAAACAGTTCCCTATTCAATCAAAGTTGGCTGTCTTAATTTTGTCCCTTAGGCTTGTTTCCAGATGTATTTTTTTTCTTATGGAAAGGCTCGGGCCGAGCCCGAGAAAATGCTCAAGCGTAGCCCGACTTCGAATTAACAAAGCCATCGACCGGGTAGGATTACAACGAACAGCTTACAAAGGAAAGAAAACAAGAAACAGAAAGACATGGAGTTTCTGCTCCTGAACTTGAACATTAAAACCCAAAATGGTAACAAACATTGTTGAATGTTCTACATCTGTGCAAGTTTTTGTGAAGAAAAAAACTGTTCTGATGCTCAGGAAAAAAAATTGTTTTTTAAAGTATTGTGGAATGCTGATTTTGTTATTTTCTCCAAGACCTCAATGAATGTGATTTAATCATGAAAAATTGCACGTGGGAAGAAAACTAAGCAATGTTCGTTGTAAAAAAATCAGCATTTTTTTCTTTTTATATTTTTATTCTACTATTCATAGAGGAACATTTTAGCTTGGGATTGGAAAGACATTTTTGTGAACGGCAAAGATACAGAGTACTAGAACAGTTTACTCCTCTATAGCATATAAGGGATTGGCTAGGTGTGTTTTAAAGGAATAAAATAAACTTTATTCCTCTATAGCCTTATAGGGGATCGGTTAGAAATGCTCTAAGTCTTGTTGTCATTTACTCTCTTTGTGTAGTGTAAAAAAAAAACATCTTGCATTATAAGACGGAGGGAGTAGCTTCCAAACGATTTTGTCCGGTTCAGAGCTGAGTTGGACCGAGAGGGAGCAGCCTCGGCAAGAGAAAAGGTCATCGAGCCAGCGCTCCTTCCAGAAGGAAATCTTGCATCCATTTCCAACATAGATCTTGGAACACGCTGCAACCAGATTCCGGTCAGTGGCGTCACAAGGCGCCGGCATTCCCTTCCAAGGTCCATCCACTGCGTCCCAATCAAACCAAAGCCATCTTAGTCTCAAACACGCAGAAGTTTCTTAAGTTGGTTTAACCATGCAGGAAACAGGTGGCGAGAACAACATCATTTATATTCCCAGTTTCTTTCTTTTTTTTGAAAAACACCCCATATATTAATTAATCCAAAAGAAATGATTTTACAATCATTCGTTACAGCATACACCACTCAGGACGGAACAAAATAAAAAGAAAGCCCATCGGACCTAGTATCGAAGCTAAACTTAGCATTCTCATGTGCCACCCCATTGGCAATCCAATTTATCTTTGAAATATTAAATTTTGGATCATCCTGGATATACTCAGAGCCTCATTCATTAGATCAGCCACAGGGACCTGTCAATCTTCTCATTTGCAAGAAACGAATGTACAAAAGCACAGACAGTCACTAAGATAATAGATTAGTGAAGCGTGATACCTATATAAAGTCCTGCGAGGCAGGCGCAGAGTTCAGCTTCATTTACACTGGTACACTGATCAATAAAATCCCACGAAAAAACAATAATTTCTCCGGACGAATTACGAGCCACAACCCCCACACTGGCTGCATTAAGACTCTCCACAAAAC